AGGAGACATCATAACGAGGTTAAAAGTAGCTCGACCAACTAGTCTCTTCCTTTTTGCGTATGACGTCGCCCCTCCTTTTTGGTAGCATCCCGTAATCCAGAACTTAATTTGAAAGCCATATTTCGACCCAGATGTATTTGGGATGCCACTGTACCATTTTCTGCCTTCTATCGCATCTTTGACTAGTGCATCGACTGATTCTATCCAAAAAAAGAGAGGGCCCTTAAACCAACTTTCCAAGGTTTTAATGCTTCCATTAGGTTCAAAAAAAGAGGAATAAGGTATGATTGAAAGTGAGAGTCGAGATAGGCTAGGAGACAACGACTCTTGTTTATGAAAGATAGTACTTGTGGGTCCAAAAGGAATGGCTGAGGCCAAAAGGAAAAAGCGAAACAAGAACTCTGGCAAGCATGGTTGCAGTCAAAGGGTTGAAAGTAGGTTGAAAGATGCTCAACACGAAAGGAGAGGAAGTAATGAGTAGCGTCTTTATCCTCTTTCATGATGTATTTGCAAAAATTTTAAAAATCTTCCTTTTCTGAGTATTCCAAATTCAGTATATGATCGGGCCTGTCAAGTAGAGATCAGGCGGGTAAAAGTAGTAGTCATCACAGGGTGGGAACGGTGGGCGTCAGGTCTTGGAGCGGGCCATTGCTGATATGACCATACGCCAGGATTCTACAATGGTGCGTGTGGAGTCTCAGTTGTCCAAACTATATGATTTGCGTGATTGGCTGGCCATGGCAGACCGACTCTATAAGGATGATCTTTGAAAACTGCAGGTCGGATATATCAGGGTATCGCAACATGTAAGGGAAAGTGAAGGTGTTGGACCAGATCCTAAGATTGGTGAATGATGACAGCCATGTGGGAACCTAGGTGACCACAACCTTGGATATCAGTAAGGTCCTTGACATGAAATGGGCTCTGGGAAGGATTTAGGATGGGCTTGAAGTCATTTTTATATCGAGCATTATAATGGGGTAAAAATTAGGTCTTTGTATAGGATGAGTGTATCTGGACGTTTGCTTGGACATAGTAGCGGGAGAAAGGGAGATTATGTGAAGGATCGACCGAGCTTATAGCGAATATAGACAAGATGAAGAGAGTAGAGAGTCAATATGAAGGGTCAAATTTTTTGCCCTTCAATTTGGATAGAGAAACTAGATATAAAGATTTGTGTGTGGGTTTACCCGAACGACACCACGAGTCATAGTTACATTCAGTTAACGAAGGGGCCCATTAGTTTTGTATAGCCCATTACAGTTTTGAGAATTAGAATAAATATTAGGGAAATTTTTACACATACTACACGAAATAAAAGAATTTTCAATTTTACCTTCCTAGAATTAGTAATAGGATATATACCTAATCAAGCTATTTTATTTACTCATTTAATTCCTTAATTCGCACAATTGGAATTTTTTAATTCACGCAGCTCTCAGGTGGTATATATTGAGTTTATGTTAGTATATTTAGTACATGTGCGCAACTGGAATTCCTTAATTCACACCCCACACCTACAAGTACGACAATGATAGCTAATTAAATGGGAACATTAAAATAGAAATCCATTATATGTGGAATGAAAATATATCCAAAACATAATCCCGGATTAGTATATGTTGAGTTTATACGTGGTATATTAAGAGAATATTTTATTAAGGCGAATCTAACGAATAAATAATTTTTTTTATGAGATTATTGCAATATATACTAAATATATACTATATATAAACTTAATATATACTGTCATTTGAAGACATAAAAATTTATACTCACTTTTAAACTCAACATAACCGTGTCCTTTGTTTTAGGAAGAAGGTGAAATTTAAACTCAATATGATGTCCTTTGTTTTATACGAAATATAATCTCTACACATACTAATCCGAGATTATGTTACATATTCATAAGACGTACATATACTGAACATTTACTGCATATACACTCTACATATACTAAAACATATAACAAAATAGAGAATCGCAAACTGGCAACAATTCACAACATCTTAGGAAAATAATCAACTCAAAGAAGATTTGAAAACCTAACAAAATGCACACCCTATCAACCGGAAAGAATCAAAGTTAGAGAATCGTGAACATAAGAAATAAAACCATGTATATATCCAAAAATCAACGCCAATTCATTATCATTTTTTTTAATAATTGCAACAAGACTGCAATTAAAAAAAGAATTAAAAAGAAATACTATTGATTAAAAAAATAACTAAAAAGAAATAATTCAATTTAAACAAGTTTTCGGTTGCCTTATGTACCCCATGGATGGCAAACCATGACATGGTTCTGCACATTATTCGATCAGCTGTGATTGGATTCCTATTGATTTCATACCGGGCCTATCCAAGCCCACCAAGGTAGCCCAACAGAGCTCATGGAATGCTGCAAGTGCCCTTTCCCTTTTCTTTTCTGTAGTGGCTTTGTGCATGTCCGTTTTTATCGGTCATCGGATGTCGAAGACCAGCATAACAACAAACTTCATACAGATTATTGGAGATAGAGATCAATGAGGTTTCTTCGTGCTCTCTCTCTCTCTTCGGATTGTTGTTGTTTGCTGGAGATCGGATGAGTGAGAATAGGTTGGAGAATAATAAAATCCCCATGTGATCTTTCTTACCTAATTAAATGATAAGTTACTAAAATTAGAATTCTAGGTATAATTGAAAATATTTGTAGCCTCTTTAGATAATTTTAAAAATAAATATATAAAAGGTAGAAAATGTAATATAATTTAAAGTTGTTAGTATGTGGTACAATTTCCTCTAAATATGACTGTGTCACTCCCATGTATATAATATACTAGTGGTCATACGCCGTGCACGCACGACGGCCTTAAATCCGGTCTAAAAATACAGTGAAAATTTGTCATAAGTTGTTGCAGCTTTTATTCCAGCATATGTTGCAATTGTTCACATATATTGTGTCTTTTTGTCTTTATGGAAATGTTTTAGGATTTTGGTGTTTTGAATTTCGGTAGTGGTTATAACCAAACGAACTCGAACAAAAGACTTGCATTAAAATTAGTTAAATGCAAATATGAGAATAGTAGAAAACTTGTCTTTCTCTTTCAATTTTTTGTCGTACGTTGGATCCGGTCGTGGGAGGTATCGTGCAAGAAGAAATAAAAACAATTGTGACCTTTGGAAATAATAATAATGATTCTATTTTTGTGCGAGCAAGAGTCGAAATAGAAACAATAGGGAAGACCATCCTCATCCAAAAAAATAAAATAGTAATTAATTGGCCCAATTTGTTGTAAATGTATATTCTAGAAAAATCGTTGTAACACCTTCCACTTTGTCCAAGTGTGGACATTCGAACTCTATCGTGATGCAAGCATATACTCGCTCTCGCCGTGAGATGTTCGAATTTATAAAGACCACCAGCCTTTTTAGTAAACAAAAGTAAATTTAATTTAATTTAAGTTTTGTGTTTTTTCGTGTTTGTTCTCTTATTTGTTGAAATCTGAGCATGGTGAAGTCATTTGCAATTTTGTATAATTTTTTGGTATTAAATTGGCGATGTCTCTGATTAAGAATTTATGCCTTCTTTACTTCTTCCCCCAGATGTTGAAAACTAAAGTACCACTGCGAAGCCAAACTTTCGTAACGCCAAGCCAACCAACACAATCTCCCAGTTACTTCAACAACAAGAAGCCCAAACAAGAATTGGATTTTGAAAAAATAAAAATAAAAATGATTTTACACATCTCACAATAGTTGAATCACACTAATGTTAATACGTCCACGGGAAACCTCGCTTTATTCTTGAAATTTATAACCAAATAGACCAATAATGAAAGCAACATAACTATGACTTACACATATAAAGTGTTTCATCGACATAGCTTTCAGCACACTGTTGTCCAAAATAAAGTCGGACTGAAGTAGATTATCCTGGAAATCAAAGGATGAACCTCTTTTGTATTTGAAACAATGTAACTTGTGGGATCAATTATCAGAAATGTAGGTAAATAAGTATGTTCGGGAAACAAAAAATCCTAAAAAAAAAATAAATATTTTAAAAGCTGAAGACGTGTGAAATTGAAAAGGCAAAACATAGGTAATTGGGATTAATCTACCAATTTGATGCCTTCCTTTCTGACATATTTATGGTAATCTTACTCCTAAAATAGCTGGTCTGAAAGGGCTCTAAACTCTAAAAAACAACCGATTACAGATAACTAATAAAACTATCATAATAATTATGAGTAAACTCATTAAAAACCAACCTGGCAGTCATCATTCTCCCTCAATTTGAATTTTGGCCTAAACTAATTCTACTCTTCGAGATGTAAATTTTTTCAATTGTAAAAGGAAAAAAAAAGACATGTCCCAGACAGAATATATCGTTAACGTTGTCGTTGGGGCCTCTTTGTTAGAGAAATCTTTCTCAATAAAAAACTGAAGTGAAGCTTCATATATCCTTGGTATAAAGACCTATAGAGATAGATCAAAAAACGTAAAATTGTTTTTCTCCAACTGGTCAATCTGACTACTCTAGCTTCTATCCAATCACAAATTTAGGGTATTGATATTGGAAGTAATTACAGACAAAAAAGTATATGCATAAACATTACACCAGATATTGAGTCAAATCCCCAAAATCACAGGTATTTAAGAAGCAATAAACACCACATGAATAAGTTCCAAAGATTTCTCCCAAAATAAAAGAAAGTAAGACCTTTCTCACATATATTGGTCATTTTCAGTAGTAACAGGGTTGTGCTGAAACTAAAAATTTTCTAATGAACCACACAAAGTGAATCATTTACAAAGAAATACGGATATTCAAAGATACAATTTCAGTAAACATAAAGGAGCAAAACAAGTCCTAGAAGATATTGTGGCAGTTATTATTTCCATTTACTATTGTTCACAATAACACAAAATAAACTCATTTGATCAGACAAATATATCCGAGGTACCAAGGAACGAAACGAAAATCAAATAAAAGGCGAATATAAAATAAAAACCTTCGAGCTAGCCTCTCATGGCCTCCGATATGCTCTCAATAATCCGAGGAGTGTGCTGCCAAATAAAACAAAACAATTTAGTTCATATCATCAATCAACACAAATAGATAAAATCAACTGCAAGTTTCAAGCTTTAAAAAAACATATCCTAAAGTCTGAATCAGTTGACTCATTGTCTTTATAATCAAATGAAGCCTTACATTTTCCAACTCATGATAGGTCCAAGTTAGTTCACAATTGTTATAAATTAAAGAACTACATCCATATCGTTGTCATCTTGTTTGAGTACCACAGACCAAATTTTTGTTCTTTTTTATCACCCAAATTGTATATGGATTTAACTCTACTTGTTCATTAACAATTCTTTTAAGCTGAATAATTCTTTTTCTCTCTCTCATTTTATAAATCACTCATGTTCAGGAAAGTAGATAAAATATTAATTGATAATCATTTTAGCAACTTGCTAATGGTCATATGCAGCTAAAATATACCTGCAATGGAATAAAACACAAGTATTACTTATCTAACTTCACTGAAAAGTCAGTGTATAGTGTTCACAGAAAAAATATGCCTTGCCCAGAAAATGAAATAAGTTGTTTGTAGACATAATACTTTGAAAAATTCTTATATCCGCTGTAGCATAAATTATATCTTGATATTACGCTCCAAGTTGAATGTAGTAACATACAACATCATATAACTTATTACATAATAGATGCATTTACTACTTACACGATCCCGACTTAGTCAAACTATAAATTCAGCATAACTTACATGCAATACAACCAGAAACAAATTACAACTGAACGAGGAGGACATTATCTACATGTTTAGGTGGAGAAGTCACGGGACAAATTTCTATAGTTATTAGATAATACCTTAGAGTATGCTTGTTCACAGGCGTCTTTGTCCTCAAAGTCTTCAATATTTTCTTCATTAATCACCCCGAATTCTTTCATTTCCTTGTAAAGATCATTTCCTTCACGAGTACGTTCACCCACTCCCCCAAATACAGATACGCCCCCATGTGCTTTGGCAATATTGTTAATCAATTCCACAATGAGTATCGTTTTACCAACCCCAGCTCCCCCAAATAATCCTATTTTTCCCTCACGGCGATAAGGTGCTAAACACAATTAGACAAAATATAAGTATGGCAATGATAGATCACATGTTTCTACCAATAAAGTCACATTTGTGAAAAAAGCTCACCAAAAATAGATCTTTTGAAAAAAGATCGAAAAAAATAAATAAAAAATAAGCAAAACAATAAGCTCGATTAAGTGAAAATTTAATGAGAGAGACTGAGTTTGATTTGATGAATCTTAAAAAGAGCTTTTGAATAAACTTTGGCGAGAGCAAGAGCCCTTTATTTAAGTTGAAGCTAAAGCCGACCGAGTTCTACAATTTCAGGAGCTTGGGGCTTGGCATTAGACGGCTGTGGAAGGGCCGCTCCAAGACGATGTGCGGCAAGGTGAAGCTGAGAAAAATGACCTATGAATTGTAAACTAACATCTGTGAGGCGTCGGCTAGGATTTGTAGGTCTGCATCAAACCAAATGGGACAAACCATGAACTAAAACTAATCAAATTATAAAACTAATTCAGAAATTTGATTTGTACCCTCTAAATGTGCTCCACTCAAAAATCCTTTCCAGCTTCTCTGTCACCAACTCACCACCTTCCTTCTTAGGGCAACAAGATCTTCGCCGTTTGGATCCACACATTTCGATTGTCATTTTCTGAGCATAGTATTCGTACCACCCAAACATATAGTGCAGACACCAACACGATGAATAACATATAGCAGAAAGAAGAACAAACTTAAACCCACAACAAACTAAACTAACCTAAATAAAGAAAAAACAGCATTAAGTAAAATATAAATAAAAAAAAATCCTGACTTTGTGTCTTGATTGACTACGATTGTCAAGCACCACACCGATTTTTCCTTATCAGCTGCAACACAAGGAAACAATTACCAAAAAATAAAAACTCTAGCGAAATAGATTTGAGCTTTTAGGTTAATCTAAAAAAATTCCGAACAAAAACAAACGAAATTTAGCACAAACCTTAAAATTAAAACACCGTAGAAAAATTATTTCCATAAAACAACGACCCAAAACCTCATAACAAAGAAAAAATCACAATTTTAAGTTTCTACAACAAAAACATTCAAAAAATTGAAAAGGTAACACCCGAATTTTGAAAAAAAATCATATGGACAAACCTAAACCTGAAGAGTATTGATATGCTTCCAGCTGTAGTAGATGTTGGGGTCGCGATGGAGGAGCTTGTTATGGCAGCGGAATACACTTCACATCACACGAACAATTTTTCTTTTAATTTTCTCGATTAGGGTTCAAAAACGTGAAAGGAGAAGGTGATTAGGTGCC